CTGATTTCTCCATTGGGATCTTGGCACAACTCATCCGGCTTTGCAAACACACAATTGCAGGATTTGTTGTTCTCCTCGCTGCCACCACACATAGTCCGTCTGCCAGCCCGTCTCTTTTGCTCATGCTCTCACTTGGACGAGAAATCCTCCCGTACATTTTAATGCCCATGAGTCTTAATGCATCTAACTGCCCCCTTGAGCTCCTCCAATCACTGAGTGACACACCAAGAAATAGATCCAGACAGGACTAGTCTCAGTTCCCTATTCAAAATCCTTCATATATCACTAAGATTACAGTGCAAAGAGAAGAGGCACTTCCAGCAGAACCTTTCCATCAAAAGAAATACAGCAACAAGACAGGGAGAGATTTTTATCAGGAGCGCCACCAGCCAAGCCAATTCAAAGGAAGCGGCCAGTGTTGAAAGCCTTCCCTTTCCAGTATTGGGCCCCGTCCCCCAATCTTAATCAGCCTGGGCGTGCATGAAGTATAAGGCTTTATTGGAGATGTCAGTGCTATTGACACGTGCAACGCATTAAACGCCTTACCGAGGATTTGCATAAATCAGGGAGGAAGGCAGAGCACGGAGAAAAGGATCAACAATGGCACACTGAAAGTGCTGAAGTGCTTTAAAAAAAACTGATAAAGGAATAAACCAGTTAAGAGAATCCATTACTCGCACACCAGTTTATTCAAATCCTGTTTGACTGGAAAGCCTCTTAAAATGATCACTTGGTCATGTGTTAAATTCCTAATTGAATAATCTGTTCATTACGTATTCCTCTCTCCAGAGCCACACACGGCACACCTGGTAGGTGGCAGAGACTGATAAAGCAAAGGTCTGTGGGGCTCAGCTTTGCCAGGAGGAGCTGTCAGAGAGAATTATGAGAACTGTTTTGGTGAAACTATCACTAAATCGGGGGTTCTCAAAGTGGGGATAGGGACCTTTCTGGAGGTGACGAGGTGATTGCATGAGGGGTTGTGAGCGGTCAGCCTCCACCCCAAATGCCGCTTTGCATCCAGCATTTACAAGGATGTTAAATATATATTTAAAAAGTGTTTTTAATTGATAAGGGGGTGTCTCGCACTCAGAGGTTTGCGATGTGAAAGGAGTCGCCGATCCAAAAGTTTGAGAAGCACTGCACTAAATCAAGCAAACATCTTGCAGGGTGGGGCGGGTGTATGAAAAGCTTAGCCACACTGAAAGGAAAAGGAAGAAGATTATAAAATGCAGAGAGGGGCTCTGGATCCCAATTCTGCTCTAATCCACTCTGAGTTTGGGAGGGTTTGGATCTGAGCCATACTCATTACAGCCAGAGATTATGCCACACTCTCGCAAAGAAACTCAGGAACCACCTTCTCAGCATTCTATACAACACGCAGAAGAAAATCAAGGAGGAGCTCTCAACATTAGAAACTCTCGTAAAAAACCAAGCTTCCACACACACCTCCTCTTCTCCAGACTTTACAAAACTCAACAAACCACCTACAAGGATCACTTCATCTCCCTTCAGAAGAAAAAGGCTATCCAAACTCCTACATGCTGCAGGATCTCTTGTTCCCGATACTTTCAACTCACCTAGCAACATTGTCAACCTATCCAACCATTCTCTTAGCTCGGCAAGGGAATCTGTCCTATCTTGAGGACTCTCCTTCTGCCCCACAGCCCCTATGAATATGATTCAGTTCTGTGGAGATTTGGAAGCCTATTTTTGCCGCTTCCACCTAAAGAATATTTCCAACACACCGATGTACAACACACTGACCTTGCTGCTGCCCCCTGCCAATCCCACAAGAGGAAGGCTTCTGTGTGGACACCTACTAACAGCCAAAGCGATGAGGAGTCCTGTGGCACCTTATAGACTAACTGAAGTGTTGGAGCATAAGCTTTCATGGGCAAAGACCCACTTCGTCAGATACATGCATCTGACGAAGTGGGTCTTTGCCCACGAAAGCTTATGCTCCAACACTTCAGTTAGTCTATAAGGTGCCACAGGACTCCTCGCCGCTTTTGCAGATTCAGACTAACACGGCTGCCCCTCTGATACTACTAACAGCTGTAATGAGAGTCTTGACTCCTACATCGATTGCTTCCACAAACATGCCCGGGCTGACATTGTCAGCAAACAACATCATATAACACATAATCTCAGTCATGCAGAACGCAATGCTACACACAGCCTCAAAAACAATTCTAACATCACAATCAAGGATCCTGACAAAGGGGGCGCTGTAATCATCATGAACAAGGCTCGACAAATCATATAATCTACTTGCCCGTGGTGAGTAGATTACAAGCCGGCGCAGCGCGATTTGCGCATGCGCAGCTCGCAGAACCGTGTGGCTGGTGAGCAGGGCTCGCTGCCGCTTGGCGAACCCTGATCATGAACAGAACAGATGATGAACAGGAGGCGACCAGACAACTCACCAACACCAAATTCTACAAGCCTCTCTCCTGTGATCCCACTAAAGAATGCCAAAAAAACCTGAAACAACTGCTCATGAAGCCACCTGATGCCGCTCAGGGCCAAATTTACACTAATATCCCTCACCCCCCAATCCCTGGCCAGGAGTTTTCTATCTGCTACCCAAGATACACAAACCTGGAAATTCTGGATGACCCATCAACTCAAGCATTGGCACACTTACCAAAGGATTATCTGGCGATAGTGACCCTATGCTACCAGCACTCCTAGCTATCTTCAAGACACCACTGAATTCCTGAGGAACCTACAAAACATCAGTAATCTTCCTGAAAACACCATCCTGGCCACCATGGACGTAGAAGGTCTTTACACCAACATTCCACACAAGGACAGATGACAGGCTATTAGGAACACCATTCCCGATGACAGCACTGTACACCTGGTTACAGAGCTCTGCAACTCACCCACAACTACTTCTGATTCAGAGACAATTTGTATCTTCAAGTCAGCGGCACAGCCATAGGCACCCACATGGCCTCACAATATGCCAACGTCTTTATGTCTGACCTTGAACAATGTTTCCTCAGCTCTCTACCCCTAGTACTCTTACTCTATTTACGCTACATTGATGACGTCTTCATCCTATGGACCCATGGGAAAGAGACCTTTGAAGAATTTCACAGGGATTTCAACAACTTCCACCCCACTATCAATCTCAGCCTGGATCAATCCATACGAGAGATCCACTTCCTTGACACTACAGTACAATTAAATGATGGACAAATTTCCACCACCCTATCCCAGAAACCTACCGACCGCTGCATTAACCTTCATGCCTCTAGCTTCCATCCCAGACACATTTCTCAGACTATTGTATACAGCCAAGCCCTAAAATACAACTGGATTTGCTCCAATCCCACAGACAGAGAAAAACACCTACAAGATCTATATAGAGCATTCTTAAAACTGAAATACCCACCTGGAGAAGTGAAAAAACAGATTGACAGAGCTAAAAGTGTACCCAGACATGAACTACTTCAAGACAGGCCAAAAAGAGAAAACAACAGAATTCCACTTGTCATTACATACAGCCCACAACTTAAACCCCTCCAACGCATTATCAACAATCTACAGCCTATCCTGGAAAATGCCCCTTACTCTCACAGGCCTTGGGGGACAAAGCAATCCTTGCCTACAGACAACCCCCTAACCTCAAACAAATTCTTTACAGTAACCACACAACACACCTCCATCATAATCATCCAGGAACCCACCCCTGCAATCAGCTCCGGTGCCAACTCTGCCCACACATGTACACAAGCAATTTCATCACTAGACCCCACTACATCAGGGGCTCATTTAACTGCACATCCACTTACGTGATCTATGCCAGCAATGCCCCACTGCCATGTATATTGGCCAAACTGTTCAGTCTCTACCGGAAAGAATTAATGGACACAAATCAGATATCCAAAAAGGCAGCACACAAAAACCGGTTGGAGAACACTTTAATCTGCCTGGGCACCTATTAATGGATCTCCAAGTCACCATGTTGTTTCTTGCCAATTCCACAAGCCAAATACACAGGGAAGGGTTGGAACTTACAAATTTAATTCTTATCAGAATGGAATGAACAGAGATATCGACTGGCTCACACAATACCTTCCACATCTTAATGACTTAACCAACCAACCAAACACTGGAGGTGCTAATTGTTCTTATCAGCCTCCGGTAACTACTTGAACAATCTATTCACTGTCTTTTTTCTCCTTTTTTTCCTCCTTCTCCCTCTTCCCAATTCCCTTCTTTATTCTTGGATCTGGACTTTTAATACTCCAGTCATCTGAAGAAGTGAGTTGTGCCCATGAAAGCTCATGATACCATCGACATGTTTTGTTAGTCTTTAAGGTGCTACTAGACTATTTGTTGGTTTTTAAGTTTTTCCATTAGAGAGATACAGGCTCAACCTATGAAATTCAGGATGCAAAGCTCCCGTTGAGTTTGGGCTCCTCCTCAAGCAAGCGCTCTCATCTTTAAGGATATGAATTTTGCAGCAATGCACTGCTATCCAGCAGCCTGTTGTTGTGTAAAACACCCACCCAAGCTTTGGAAGTGAATGTGCTGGCTCTAGCAAGAGCTTCAGAGCCACCCTTGGGAGAACCTGCTCTGCTCTCCTTGGAAGAAACAAGGTCACCCTTCCAGCTACAAATGGCCTTGGCCTTAAAGAAAAAAACATGTCTGCCACCTTTACATCCCAGCACACGTGTGCTCCAGCCGACAGCCGTCCGGGAAGCTCTATCAAAGACCATGCTTTTGTAGAAATTAAACATTCCACACAAACTTCTGCTGCTGAAATATTGGCACCTGGAAATTAGCGCAAAGACAACAGCACATAGCAAATTTAACCCCCGCCCCCCACAAAACCTATTCTTGAGCAAAAAGCCACCGCACAGTTTTTACAGTCATTAGGTAGCAGTAGATTCAACTCTGCCAGCTGCTCGATCTAAAAAAAAACCCACTGTCAAGCAGCCAAACCAACACAAAGCAGGCTGACAGTAGCAGGCTGAAACACTGACCGCAGATGGCCGTGGGAGACAATATGTAACCAGGAGCACCTTGGGTTACAGCAGAGGCTGTGTAGATACAGATCCATGCTCTCTGTAGGAAGGGAGACCCACTTGAGTTCTGCAGGCACCAGCACTCGTGGGTTTTGCACCAGATCCTATGAGATGCTGCATTCCTCCTGCATGGTGGAGCGACCCCCTTCAGGGCCTCTGTGTAAACCTCTTCAGTCCTTGCGCAGACTCCTTTTCCCTTTGAAACCTTCCTTAAGAGAAGAGAAAATCAGTGTTTGCAAATCCGCCTCCACCCTGGCGTGGCATGAAAGGCGTTTCCCAGACACTCGCTCCCCCTTGTCGTCACCCTCTGCTACTCCGACGCCGGATCTAATGTGTGCACATGATACATTCATTGAATCCGTTCTGCAAAGCAACTGAAAACAACCCGGCTCCTCAACAAACTCTTGAATGCCGGAGAGGAATTGATGGCTCAAAAGCAGGAGACACCGCTCGACCATGTTCAAGTCCTGGATAGGGTTGCCAATTTCTAATTAGACAAACCAGAACACTCCTTCCCCACCTGGTCCCCACAGCCCTGCTTCTGCCTCACCCTTTCTCTGAGCCCCTTGCTCGCTCCATCCCCCTCCCTCCCTTATTCACTTTCCCTCACCCTCACACACTTTCACAGAGCTGGGGCAGGGAGCTAGGGAGCAGGGGACTGAGAGCTCTAACTAGGGGTGCAAGATCTGGGGTGGGGCTGGGCATGAGGATTTGGGGTGTGGGAGAGGGCTCTGTGGCATTGGCGAAGTAGTGGAGATGGCCAAAGCAGTCACCACAAAGGCATCTGGGAGAGGAGAGATGGAAGGAAACAAAACAGTATTTAAACTGGGGCAGATTAATGTGGGATCCCTGAGCTTTGCCCCACATCAGAGCGGCTGTTTGGGAGGCCGCAGAGTAGAAGATGGAAGCACTGCCAGTAGCTGCAGGCCTACTGGAGAGGGCTGGGCTGCCCTTCGCTGGGAGAAAGATCAAAGACTGGGCTAGGAGGAAGGGCGCAGGGGAAGTTTCTTGGATGGAGGCAAATCAGAGAGACAAGGGCTCCTCCTAATCTGGCTTGTGAGATAGTACTGTACAGAAAAGGGTTTCAACATCCCTTGAGTCTGCCTAAAATCAGTCCGGGGACCGGATCCGACCTGCCTAACACTTTGATCCTGCCTGCAGACTGCATCTGGCGGCTTCCTATTTATATCCTGCTGCCTGTGCCACTGTATTTCCAGAAGGTGGCTCAAGAAGCAGGATCCTATTTAAATGGCTCATGGTTCCCAGTCATGGCGCTCTCCCAGCAGGGGCCGGAGCTGGGAGCCCTTTAAATGGTTTCAACTCTAGGCGGCTGCCAGGCAATGTGGTAGCAGCAGGGTCAGGAGCCTGCGAGCCCTTTGCTGTAGTTTTCATTCAAAGCCTCCAGCCCTAGAGTAGCCTGAGGGGAGGCTAGACCCCAGCCCCGCCCCTTCCACTCCAGGCCATGCCCCTTCTGGGGATGGAGCCAGCCCGTGACCATGACCATGTACCAAAATTCATTAAATGGCTCCTCTGCGAAAAGTATTGCCCACCTCTGGCCTAAAATGCCCCCATCCCGGCCTCCAACTTCCATCAGCCCTGAACAGCCTGGGACCTGGGGAATGAGCCGGCAGGAAAAGTGGAGCACTCTTAAAAGCCAGTCTGTTAAAATATTCCTTTCCCCAGCTCCTACGGCTGTGTCCCATTTCCTTCTTTATCCCCTCCGTCACCAGGTATAAATGTCACCCAGGTCAGCTACCAGTGCTACAATCGATTGGGAAGGAGAGTCAAAGATCTTGCACACTGTAGATTTATATTCGTGCGGTTCAACACCAGCTATTTTTTGCCCCAGCGAGAAAGCACTCTCCGGAGATTCATGACTCTGCTCAGGGGAGGCCTTTATCCAAGCATGTGTTTAAGTGAATAATAAATTATAGAAAGAGTTTTTATTGATCCTTTCCTGCTGCCTCACAGGCAGCAATGGAGAGGGACAGAGGTTGTATTGGAACCACCCCTGCCTGCCACAAATAAGGTAGCACAGAGCGGAGAGCAACTCCACCCATTCTGTCTGGTTGCCAGGAGCCCTTCTGTGTTAGTTATTTATCATGATTATTACAACAGTGTCTCAGGCCACCTGAGAATTGAGGCCCCATTGTGTCAGCACTTTGCAAACAGTCTCAGAGACAGTCCTGGCGCTGCAGAGTTCAGACTCTGGCAAGGCAGCACACAGGGGAGCCGACAGCCTTGCTGGGTGGGGGCTGGCTCTGTGCACCTGACCTGGGACTAGAGCCCATGACCCCATCCTTCCCAGGTGAGCGCCCTATACCCTAGGCCACAGGGGAAACCACCCTACCACCTTGCTGTCAGGGTGCCATTTGGGCAGAAGGAGCGGGCCTGGGGGAGACAACCCTCAGCAATGCTCTGATGGTGATTTAAAGAGCTTGGGGCCTTTTGAATCACCGGGGCGCAGGGCACCTGCCCCCCTTGTCCCAGCCCCATCAGCAGGCCTGCAGCAAAGGTCGGGGAAAGGAGCCCATCAGACAAGCAGATGAGCGCTTCCCAGCCCCTTGGATTTAGGAATCACCAATATTAGGGAAGCCACGCTGGCGATCCAGCCCCTCCCCCCCGCCGTTCTCCTGCCCTAGCCTAGCCCTAGGGTTGCCCGGTGTCCGGTATTCACGCGGACAGTCTAGTATTTTCACCTCCTGTCCGGTAAAAAAATTCAGAGACTATGAAACGTCCGGTATTTTCAAAAAATTCAGAGAATACCTAAAACGTCCGGTATTTTCTGATTTTTTTTCCCCGGCCAGGAGGCGAAAATGCCGGGCACCTGGCAACCTTACAAACACTCACCACCTGGCCTCCCTCCTGAGCCCCCCCGGCTCCCAACACCCCCAGTCAGCCAACTCCATGCTTACCTGGTTCTGCAAGGCTGCCGGCACAAAATGGCTGCCGACCAAGGGGAACCAATGCTTGGTGCTCAACCGCTCCCCTGTTCCTATCCCTGCACTCACAGCAGCAGGGGACATGCTGTTTTAATGCTGTTTTATTTTATCTTTTTTTTTTTTGCTCAACAACTTTGGTCCCCCCTCCCTTTTTTTTCCCTTCAACAGAATTTTTCCCCACTGTTTTTTTTTTGTTGGGGAGGGGAGTGTTCAGTATTTTTGTTTCAACCATCTGGCAACCCTACCTAGGTCCCCCTAGGCTCTGGTGTATGAGGGGAATGTGGGGAGTGTCTTTCTCCTCCTTAGCTGGGGGCAACATCAGTGAGGATTTGTGTTTTTTTTGTTTTGTTTTGCTTCCTTCTTGTGTGGTGCCCCTGACTAATTTTTTTTTGTGGGTCAGCAGCCCCTGACCCAAAAAAGGTTCCCCACTCCTGAATCAGGGCAACAGCAAGTACAAACCTTTCTGTGGCTCAGGATTTCCAGTATCTCCTTAGCTCTGTTGCTGGCACTTTCCCTTCCTTCCCCTTCCCATTTTAGGTCTTTCCGAAACTTGCCACAGCTCAGGGGTGGTGGGGCAGAGTAGGGGGGAGGGAAGGGGAGCCCTTGGGTCACCTCCCTTGCTCCTACCACCAGGAATTTCTCAGTGCTCGGGGGAATCTTAACTATTGAATCACTCTGGGGAAAGGCCACTGGAACCGTCCTTCCGTCTGTCATGGCTCCTTCACGATGCACCTGTGCTGTGAAATGCCATGTGGCCAAAGGTTCTCCGTGGTCATGTCCTACACAGAACTGTCATAATCTTTGTACAAAATATGCCTTGTGTGGCATCATTTGAGAACAAATAACTTAGGGTATGTCTACACTGCCACCCTAGTTCGAACTAGGGTGGCTAATGTAGGCATTCGAAGTTGCAAATGAAGCCCAGGATTTAAATATCCCGGGCTTCATTTGCATCTTGCCGGGCGCTGCCTTTTTAAATCCCCTTAGTGCTCCTTGTGGAACGAATTAGAGAGCCTAATTCGAACTACCTACTCAGTGCCGCGTGTAGCCACGGACACGGAGTCCGCACTAAGGGGGATTTAAAAATGGCGGCGCCTGGCGAGATGCAAATGAAGCCTGGGATATTTAAATCCCGGGCTTCATTTGCAACTTTGAATGCCTACATTAGCCACCCTAGTTTGAACTAGGGTGGCAGTGTAGACATACCCTTACTGATCAACAGGGTTAGATTAACTCTTCTGGGGCCCCCTACATTCTGGATTGGGGCCAAAATGGGGGGGGTTCAGAGTTTGGGGGAGGCTGTGGGTTGAGGTGGGGATGGGGTGAGGGTTCTGGCTGGTGATGTGGGTTCTGAGTGGGGCTGAAGATGAGGCATTTGGAGTGTAGAAGGGAGGCTCCAATCTGGGGCCAAAGGGTTTGGAGTGTGGGGTTTCAGGGCGGGAGGTGGGGAATCTGGGTGAGAGGTCGGGTGTGAGAGGTGACTCGGGACTCGGGCAGGGGGATGGGGTATGGGGCTCTTACCTGGGGCAGCTCCCTTTTGGCGGTGCAGATTCTGGGGAGGGGAGGGGGTCATAGGTGACCCTTGGTAGCACTTGGGAGGTGCACCAACGCCGTGTACCCCTGCCAAAATTTTAATTCCTAAACAGGGTGCCCCTCCCTGTTCTTCTGGGTGGTCCTTCCTGCATCCCCTCCTCCTGCAGGCACCAGTCGTCTATGAAGAGGGCAGGCTGCTTTGCACTCGCCTGCAAGCACCGCCCCCTACAGCTCCCATTCGCTGTGATTCCTGGGCAATGGGAGCTGTGGGGATGAAGCCTGCAGGTGAAGGAAGTGCATTGAGGGAGTTTACTGATGCTTGCAGCTGTAGCTCCAGCCCAGCTGGAGGAGGGGGAGACAGTAGCACAGGGAGCCATGTTTGTTTCCCCCCCCGGCTTTAGGGGCTGCTGCCCAGGGTCCCAGGCTAAGGGGGCTCTGCAAAAAGATCTTCACTTTTTGTGGCCTGGAGATCTTTTTGTGGGGTCCCAGGCTACAGCTATACGCAGACACGCAGGGTTTTACCTGCATGCTCTTTGGCTTTGTGTGCCCAGCCCAGGTGGGAGCTACAGCAGCAAAGCCTGGTAAGAAACACAATATTACAGGGCAGGTTGTGACGCAGCCCCCCACTGGTCTGGATTGCACCCAGAAGGTCGCACTGAGATGGATTGTGAGGCAGCTGAAAGGATTAGGCAGGAAAGTTGGCAACACTATTCAATGAGCCTTACTTCTTCATCCCTATTCAGTGCACACCTGATGGACTATGTTCTTCTTCTGCCATCTGTTGGCCTTGAGCCCCATCTCCATGTGGACTAAAGGGGAGGAGCAGAGCTCTCAGCAGTAGCACAGCAGCAGCTCACACATCCTTTATGGGGGTGTCGCCATCCCTGCTGAGTCCTCACC